TCCCAACATCTTACCATTCTCTCTTCTTAGTATTAGGTTGAATCACGTGAAACTGACATTTTCGTACATCAAAAATGGTACAATTTTGGCAATATCATACAGTTCAACCTAACTAAAATGGCCAAGAGAAAAGAAAAAGGGATAGAAACTTGCATCCAGATAGAATCAGGTAAAGGGGACTACCCTCATGCCATAAAACTGGTGGCATTTCTGACATACTGTGGAGATGAAAGAAAGAATTCAAGTGTGAAAGAAAGAATTCAAGTACAGACTTGCAATTGCCCTGCAAGAGAAACCAACGAGGAGTCCCGAATCATGAAGAGAAAAGACTCAGAGAGAAATGGGCAACAGCCCCTAAGTTGGAGGGCCAAGGACTGAAGCAAAGCTGAATCCTGGGACAGACACTAATCACAGTCTTCATGCTTCTCTCTTTGGGCTCTTCCTACAGAAGTCTCTCCACCCCAAGGTCTTTACTGCTACAGAGGATGGCTCCCTAATACAGCCACACTGGGAGGAACCAAGCATGGCCTCACCTTACCAAAAGCAGCAGGCAGCAAGCCCAGTTTCCTTCAGACTTGGCTGGACTCTTCCCTACACTCTTATGAAGCAGAACCTTCAGACAGGCCAAAGCTCTTACTTGGCTTACAGGTCTAATTAAAAAAAAAAAAAAAAAAAAAAAAAAAAAATGCTACATGAAGAAAGCCAATCCTGGGCTGCGCAAAGAGCAGACACTTCATAAATTTCTCCATCTTCCCACAGTCCCAGCTCGTCTCTTCCCCTCGGCTAGTGTTGCTCACATCAAGGACATATTTTCCAGCTGCTGGGCCCCTGATGCTCATGCAGCCTTTCAGAATCCAGCTCTCCAACAAAGGATAATGAGCAGGGGGAAATACATCAGCTAGCTTTCTTGTTTGCAAGCAACACCTGCTGGCTCCGGAGAGCAACTGCATTGAGAGACTCTCCTGGGCACGCAAAACCAAGGACTAAAAGTCCAGGCTTAACGAAGGGCTGGAAGAAAATGAGAGGCCGTTCTACAGGGATCACAGGGACCATGTCACGGATGGGAAGAGTCTTGGGAATGCACCAGTGCCGTGAGGGATGGCCTGCAACCTTCCCTCCGTGTCTGCTTCCCCTGCTTCCATCTGTCACACTGGCTTCACTCTCTGAAGATTCAGACCCTAGGAAATATTATACTGATCAGCTGAGCTCAGGTCATAGCTGGTCTGTCTGACCTGAGGCAGGAAGATGGAGAGTCTGACTTACGTGTGTGACAGACCATTTCCCAAAAGGAAACCAGGTGGAATGGATGCCGGCCAGCCATTTTAACCAACACCCACCACAAGGAAACAAAGTAGTCAGAACAGGAAGGAACTGGAAGCCTGCTACACTCTCTGTTTTGGGACAAATTCCAGGTGTGGACACATCTGTTATTGCTCAAGGATGAATAAAAAGGAGGAAAATACTTGGACTTACAGGGTGCAATGTAAAGAATGCAGAAGGGCAAAAAACAAACAAAAACAGTTAAAACCAAGCATTCAAAGCCAGAAAAGAACACCTTCCATACCACAAAGAACTGAACCTGAGAGAGGAAAAAAAGAAACCTTAAGAAAAATCTCCCAAACACAGGAAATATAACAAAGAAATAAAAAATGCACGTGCAGAAGACTCAGTAACCAGAAAATTTAATCCTAAAACAAAGGAAATAAAAACAGTAAGTAATAAGAGCAGAAAACATAAACTGAAGATGTCTGAATTGATATATGGAAAAGTTAATAGTAAGTTATACACATACCTAGATACATGGTGAAAGTTTAGAATTTTATGGATAAAACTTTTAAAATCCTAAAAACATCTGAGCAGGGAAGTGATGGGGGGGCAGGGAAGGTTAACTTCACTGAAGCAACACATTAAAAAGGTTTTTTTAATAAAACATTAATTTTATAGTTAAATGCTTTTATTAAAAGATGAAGACTAGGGGCGCCTGGGTGGCTCAGTCGGTTAAGCGTCTGACTCTCGATGTCGGCTCAGGGCACAATCTCACAGTTCATGAGATCGAGACCCATGTTAGGCTCCGCACTGACAGTGCAGAGCCTGCTTGGGATTCTCTCCCTCTCCCTCTCTCTCTGTCCCTCTCCTGTGCACACACATGCACGCTCTCTCAAAATAAATAAATAAACATTACAAAAAATAAGATGAAGACTCTCATGATGACTTCAAAACTAAAAACTATATTCAGTGTCCAAGAGAAATACTCAGAGTGACAAATAAAAGTTAAAGTAACAAGAGCTTTCAATAGTTATTAAGGACTTAGAATATGCCAGGCATTGTCCTAAGCATTTATTTCTATTCATCCAATCCTTGAAAAAAACCAAAAGAGGTCTCAATATTATCCCCACTTGACAAATGAAGAAAATAAGGCTCACAAAAGTTAAGTAATATGCCCAAAGGTCACACAGTAGATGGGAGTGCCAGGACTTGAATCCAGGTAGCCTCATTCCAGTGACCAGCCATTTGATCTACCACTCTAAATTGCCTGTTTTTAAGGAAAAAGGGCAGCACAAATCAGGTAAATCTAAACAACTACAAGTGACTGGTAGTAATAGCACTTTAGTTCTTAAATGGAGAAAAGATAGTTATTTGTCAATGGTGAAAGATACAATTTACAATCAAGAAGAAAGAAATACTCAGCCCAAGAGTACCCAAACCTCACAGTAACTGGCCCACAGTAGGTGTTCAGAAAGAGCTGTAGAATGAATGAACAAATGAGCTAATAAGCCAACAAAAGATCAGGCATGAACCCTTAGGTACTGAATTTGAAAAATAAAACACCTAAAATAAAAGGAAGCTGACAGGGGAACAGTGGCAAAAAATAGGTATAGTTCCTTACGTGAAAAATTTTTTGTTTCAAAAACAAAAATGTTTTCCAAAGTGATTGATTAGGGAACAAATTTTGTATTGCTTAAGTGAAATTTTGTCCCTGAGAAACAGTAAGTGAAGGAGGCATAAAACTGCACCTAGCTGAACCCATTCACATAGGAATATGTAACTCTCTCTCTCTTTCTCTCTCTCTCTCTCTCTCTCTCTCCCTCCCTCCAAGATCTACCAGCTACCTCAGTCCACTGTCTTCATACCCATGCACATATGCTGAACAACTTTTGATCAGATTTCAGATAACTCACTTTCTACCACTTTGCACCAACTCACAACGTGTACCCTTGCTGACACCCATGTCCACAAGCAAGCTTTACGTCTTTTATTGTAGCATTATGTATTTCTTAATCATCTAACATACATAAAACTCTACTAGCATCTTTATTAGGTTCCCATCTTTTGTGTGTGCATGTCACTAACAAAGTTTTTGAGTGCTGCACCCTATCAAAAAAAGTCTGATGGATAATGATAGAAAACCAATTCCCTCCAAATTATCTTTAAATGTTTACATCAATTTCCATCAAAACCTCCTTTTTTTTTCCTTCGGTAGGGCAGGAAGATTTTAATAATTAATTCTAAAACTCTTTGGGAAAATGAAGTGGTCACTCGTTAGAAGAATTTTTCAGTAAAGAAAGAGGAGATTTTTAACTGTCAATGAAGCATATCAAACCACAATTGCAAACAGAAAAGTCCATGAAAGAGGTCAGGAAGCCCAGAAATCAGCGCATATTTAAAGACAATAAAGATGGCACATCAAATCAGTAGGAAAAAACCGGGACATTTTAGATCTTAGGAAAGCGGCAGAGCACAGCATGGGAGGGAAACCTGTGGGGCTGGACAGGCTGCACCAGATAGCACACCAGCACGGCACGTCCCAGCTGGGTGACCCTGGACGACCAGTGTCTCTATCTGTAAAATGAGGACAGTCATTGTACCTACTTCACAGGACCGCTGCAAGGATTATCCGTTATCATTTGTGAAGTATCAGAACAGGTGCTAAAACAGTGAGCGCTGTACATGTGATACTAAATAAAAGAAAGCAATGCATGTTAAGATAATCTTTATACTCTTGGGAGCAGAGAGGAGGGAGGCAGGGGGATCAGAACCTCCCACCATACCATATTAAAAAGATAAATTTCAGGGTTTTAAAAAGTGAATGATAAAAAGTTAAACTGGGTGGAAAAAAAGGACTCTTCCTCTGATCTCTAGATTGGGAAAAACCTTTTAAAATATGACAGTAAAGCTATTAAGAAAACAGATTGATATGTTTGATTACAATAAAATGTTTAAAGCATGTATATGAAATGCTAAGATTTAAGAAAATAACTTGAGAAAAAATAAGGGTTAATGCATGTGTGTACAAACTTACAAATCAGTAAGAAGAAAAGTATACCATCAAGCAATTCACAAAAAACTTTGCCTGTACATATGAGAAAGTACATAACATTATCAGTAATCAAATTTTCAAATTAAAATATTTCAGCCACCATCAGGGCACCTGGGTGGCTCACTGGGCTCAGGTCATGATCTCACGGTTCATGAGTTTGAGCCTCGCCTGAGGCTCTGTGCTGACAGCTCAGAGCCTGGAGCCTGCTTCGGATTCTGTGTCTCCCTCTCTCTCTGACCCTCCCCCGCTCACCTTCTCTCTCACTCTCTCTTAAAGATGAATAAACCTTAAAAAAATTTTTAAATATTTCAACCACAAAACTGGTCAAAGTTTTAGAAAAAAAATATATTGGTGGCCAAAAGGCAGACACTGGTACATGGAAACAATCTTTCCAGGGGTCACTTTGATTATATGCTTCAAAAAGCATTTAAAATATTAAGCCCCTTTGACCTAGTAATTCAATTTCTGGGACAGAGTTGGAACATTAGGATTTCAATAGAACAGTTTCAAGTCACTTTTCCACAGATGAAGCAGAATCAAAGAAAAAAAAGATTTGGAGAAATATTTTAAGTTTCAGATAGAAGGCTAAGAATTTTCATCCTCTAAAAATTCAACACATGTTTCACTGTATAATTAATTAATATTACCAAATTGCAAAAAAAAAAAAAATCTTGAAACAAACCTTTTAACAGCATCCTTCTTCGGCTTATCTATAGTATCCCACCACTTTGAAAGGTAAGAAATCTCAGACCACATAAATTTCCTCCGTGAGTCTTCTTTCAGCTTGATGACCATGTTATTAAAAATATACTGAGTCATCTCTCTAAAGTAGTCATCAAAAGTCTTCAACCAACCTAAATCAAAACACAAATATACAACAAAGGTCTGATTCATATGTCTGATTTCAACTCAGTCACATTCCATTACATGACTTTTGGATGCCCTTAGATGTTTCATTCATATGAAGACACATTTACAAATTTCACAAATATTTCAAGTAGTGAATTTCAAGTAGTGAAATTCCATTTGAATGCACATGACTCTCAAAAAGACACTAATGCTACAGTAACAAAAATACCCTTGAAATCTGTACAAAGTCAGAAAGAAATGAGAAAAATGAGACAAATGACCTGAGGAAAAAAAGCATTTATTTATGCATGATAATTACAGTACCTGATTCGATTATGTATAATTTATCTCTAATGTAAGGAATTTGTCTTCATTTTAAAAATCTGAACAGCGTTAACAAGTTGGCAGTACTGTTCTCATCATATGGAATTAAGAGTGTATCCCTTCATACCACATCTGAAATTCTCTCCCCATTTTAGTAAGTGAAACTAAGAAAATCGTAAGTACAAACTATATCTAAAAGCCAGCAGCGAAGCAATAAGGTAATTAACAGCACTATTATGAATACAGAGAAGTAGAATTCTGCCAAGCACAGGCATTAGTTTCCAAAGGCTGCAAATCATTCCATTTTTTGGAAGCACAGACTGACACTAACAAAACAACACAAGTGTATATGAAGTCTTTTTCAAAAGAAAATTGTAGATGTTAATGACTTAATTCTACGACTTTTCCTCCTTCTCAAATACCCTGGAAACTTTATCTAAAGGTATTTGCAATTTCACTATAAAGAAACCTTTTTAACAAGACCCACAAGTCTAAGCATAGCCCTACCTGGCAGAGTATTAAAGCAACATGATAAGCGGCTGAAGCATACACAGTTACCAATTCTATCTACTAGCCAAGTGGATCCTCCAAGAACAACCTCTTATCTATGAAATCTTACAGAGATAGAGGTGTTCTATACATCGAGGCTAAACTACCACTCTATTTCCAAAACTCAAACATGTGGGAGGACTAAAATATAAAGAGTCAACTGGTTATTTCTTTTGTCTATAATTAAGTTAATATTTGAAGTACAGTATACTGACTGAAAAAAAATGAAAATCTGCTAGGGCAGAGAAGACAATACAAGTATTTTGACAATACAAGCATGAGCTTCTGAAAAGGGCATTGCTACTGACTGTATTTCTCCCTTCTGCTTTAACTAAAATCTATCGATCTATTCATTCTAGAGTTATTTACTGAGCATGTACAAAGCGACAAGTATGAAACTAGAAGCCAAACAGGAAGGCAGTGGAAAATTGTCTTTACAGGACTTTCTTGATCTGGGGCACTTTCAAGTCACCAAAGAAGGGTACCTGGATAATTCAACTTTTCCATGCTAAAAAGCCTGCACCTATAGAAAATTCAAAGATATCTCATGAAACAATGGTCTGCAAAGAATCCCATCTTGCTTGAGGAAGGTACAAACCTGGACTCCTGTCCCAGCGCATGAAGCCAAGATCCACATCTGGATTCCCAGGAACAGGCAAAGAAAATCCAACCTACCCCTAAATGGGAATGTTCAAACTTTCTGCTGACCATGCCAAGAGAAAAAAACATCAAGTGCTCAGACATGAGCCCAGGATATAATATAGCACTTGATAAAGATTAGTTGCTATCGTCGTCATCATCATCATCATCATCATCATGTTTTTAATTGCCCCGTCCCCATCTCTATAATTGAAGCAGGTAAAAAAGGAAATAAAAGATATTTTTAACATGTAAGTTTTGAAAAGGATACCTTTATTTAGAATGTTTACACAAATTGTTCCACGTCTTAAACATACTGGTTACCCAAAATTATTGTTTGCAAAGAATTAATTCTATGCCCATTGTAGGCTGAATTGTGTCCCCTCAACATGCCTACGTTGAAATCCTAAACCTTAGTACCTCAGAATGTGACTATATCTGGAGACAGGGTCTTTAAAGAGGTGATTAAGGTATAATAAAGTCATGAGCCCCACTCCAATATGCCCTTGTAAGGACAAGCAGATAGACACAGACACACACAGAGGAAAGATAGAGGAGAGAGACCTTCAGAAGAAACCAGCACTGCCAACTCCTCGATTTTGGACTTGCAGCTTCCAGAACTGTAAGGAAATAAGCCACCCAGTCTGCAGAACTTTGGTATGGCAGCCCTAGTAAACTCATATAGTCCTAGAAAAAAATGAGTGCTGCTACCATCCCAAAAATAAAGAATGCAATGTGGCAAGAATTTTTATTTTACTAAGCACCGTCAAAATATCTAATTGAATATATAAAGTACCTCCATATTGCAAGACTGAACTGAAATCAAATGCACGTAAGTGACAACAATTTCTGCCCCATGCTATTATTACTCTATATGTGCAGTAAGAACCACGTAAATTATTGAAATGGCTCTATGAGAACTACCGTCTTTAAGGCAACACTCACAACTTTTACCTACATTTTTAACAAAGATCAAAACTAAGCCCTAATCATTTGGCTACTTACTCAGTAAAAGAACTATGAACAATGGAATGACTCCAAAATTAACAACAAAACTCTAGTAACCTAACATAGAAAATGAATTTAGAAGAAATCATCTTTATGAAGATGAATAAGTAACAAGTTTTTTTTTTAAGTACAATTACTTGTTTTCATCAGTTATAATTTATTATTAGCTAAGACCCTTTCAAAGAATAGTTTATCATTGGAGTTGTCATAAAGGAATCACAGTGACTGATTAATCCATTTTGCCTTTGACACTTCATTTGCCCTTCAACAATCATGCGGGATATATGTCAAAGATATTTACATGAGCCAAAGTACATGCTCAGAGATGTCAACTTAAAAGCCTTCCATAAAGCTCATCTATAATAGACATTAATATCACTACAATATAGCACAATTAATGAAGAATGAACTAAAAGATAGCCTCTTGCAGCTTTCAATATTGAGTAATCTAACAGTAAATTAGCTTTTATTGCTCTTATACAATAGAGTAATCAAGTATTCCCTTTTACACTGAATTGGCTATTTCTTTCCCTAAATTACTGTAAAACTACAACTGTATATTAACATGAGACCAACAGAAGGATAGTATTTTATGAAAAGTTGTATGGGATGAATTTTTGTGACATAAAATTAGATTCCTACCTCTGGATTTAATAATCTTAGGACATTGAGTTGCAAACTGATTTACTTAAGTGGTCAATTCACAGCCTTTTTCTTTCCCTTGAATACACTTGGAAATTGAACCAGGGCTAGAACAGCACACAGAAAACCTTTCCATTTACTGTTTTCCATTCTAACAACACTCTAACCCGTAAAACAGCTAATCACTATTTTTAAGTAAGTGAGGAAATATCTGCAACAAAGAATACACAATTAGAAGTTCTGTAAAGGATGAATAACTCTAAATTTGCTCTATTTTATCATAAAAAAGTTAAGTTCTAGGGACGCCTGGGTGGTTCAGTCGGTTAAGTGCCAACTCTGGACTTTGGCTCAGGTCATGATCTCCCGTTCCTGAGTTCAAGTCTTGTGTCAGGTTTGGGATTCTCTCTCCCCTCTCTCTCTGCCCCTCCCCCACCCACTTGCACACGCACAAGAGCGTGCACATGCGCTCTATCTCTCAAAATAAAGAAATAAAACTTGAAAGAATTTAATTTCTATAATATAAAGCCTAGTAATGTTGAAAGCTCTACTGCTTATTTTTAATGTGCATGAACAATTAAGCACTTAGTGACTGTTCGCTGACAAACCACCATTTTTAGAAATTTGACTCCTGATCTAGCTTTGTAGTCTGAAGACTTTGCGGCAATTTCATCCTCTGGAGGAACACTTAGTTTTATTTGGTTCAAGGGCATACACAGCACTTATTTAGGACCTGGGCAAGGGTATCTCACCCTGAGCCCTGGACTTGAGGGATCTTCCTATTCTTCCTCTGACCACATCCCTTTCACAAGGCAAAGAAAGAACTGCCCACCCAGAGCCCACCTTGACCTGCCCTCCTAAGCACCATGACCCAGAAATGTGTCCAAATAGCCCCAAGCCAGTTTCTAGAGCCCAGAAGGGGCCTTCTATATGTCATTCTAAAGGACAGTTGACCTGGAGGTGGTAATCTCTGTAGCCTGAGCAATGGCCAGGGGGATACAGTTTGCAGTGATGTGGGAAAAGTGCTGGCGTGTCTGTGCATCTGTGAGCAAAGCCCCTCCTGGTTTAGGACAGGGCCATTTCTGGGCAAGGAGGTTGGGCTGCCCCACAGGCTGGCTTTTCCCACACAAACTCAACACATTCCAGTGGGGAACTGGAGCCCCAGCAATCTCAACCCACATGTGGCCTTCCTGATAACTGTGCTATTCCTCAAGGTAGGAGGAAAAGACCTATTCTACTTATCATGTATCAGTTTGATTTATAACTTTCAAATGTTTACACAAAGGGTCTGAGGGCATCCACATACTTTTACACCAAATCCTACAAATTTGGGAACCTACAACCTGAACTCCCAACCAGTCAATTCTCATGAATCTAGCACCTGGTATGAAGACTACACCATCAAGAGTTGAATAAGTACATGATAGATGAGTGAAATGTATAGCCAAAAGAATAGGGGGAAAAGGGTATATAGAGTATAAATACAAATTTATTACTTCAACTAGAAATGAAACAAAAAGGAAAAGACACCACACACATACACACACACACACACACACACACACACACACACACACACACACACACAATTAGCTCTAACATAGCCACTGTCTGTTCTGCTAACCTAATCATCTTTGATCAATATCTTTAAGTTACTAGCTTATATTTAAAAAGGCTCTGTCAGCCCCAAGATGATTTAAAAGATGCATCCCAAAGAAGTCATGCCCCTCAAATCATTGTTACACTGTTGTGGTTTCCACTACTATGACAATTATTTTTTAATGACTACATTAATTCTACTCAGTTAAGTAGGTACCAACTGTTAAGAAAAGATAATAAATCTTGC